TCCTTGAATTAAAATACATTAAAAAATATAATAATTTTATATTTATTCATATAAAATTATTAAAGAGACGAAATTTTTGACAAAATTACAATTTTTCAAAAAAGAGTTTAGTCAGGTATCACTAACCACTACGCTTAGCTTTTTTGACGAAATCATGCATAGCCATTTCTGTGAATAGCTTGATCTTAACTTCTGTTATCTTAAGCATAGCATTTCAGGATAAGGATGTAGTAAAGACATAATAACTGAAATTGAGCTCATAATATTGCATACATGTCTCTTAGAACTTAGTCCAAATATCTGTTAGACTAAGTATATCAGTCTTAAGATAGAGATCATGATACTCACATAAATTTTGGTATCTGAATTCCTTTCATACATTCTAAGCATGTTAGTAATCTTTTTATGTAATTGTATTACCTAAAAAACTATGGAATTCATGAATTGGAAAAAGTTCTGTCTCTTGGAACCTATTATGAGAATCAATATATTTGTAGGAATAAACTCCCTTATGACATACTAGAGAAATTTGTTTGGAAGAGAAGTCTTTGAAGTGGTGACTTGTGATAGGATTGACATCATCCAAATTCTTCATAAGATTGGCTAAGCTATTATTCATGAACTGCATGCTATCAATATACTTAAGCTGGCCTACCTTCATAGACTTATATCGCTCAAATATTTTGGCTATAACTTGAATATGAAGAGCATTAGCTGATTGTCTAACTGACTTACAAACCAAGTGAGAGTCATAGCCTTAAAAGTTATGAAATATGACTGGAATTGGGGTCTTCAAAACTTGTATTTGGAGTTTAAGATTACAATCCTTATAAGCTAATCCATGAAATTTACCTGTGATATGACAGTGATCCCAAACCTTATTGGCTTTAGCTTTTTTACTAGCAATTACCTTAGTACCTTTATCAATTGTTGTTTCAATGCTATTATATTTAGCTGAACCCTTTTAAACTTTTCTAGCTTCTCTTTAAGACTGGTTATTTTGTTCTCTAGGCGTTTAATATCATCTATATCTATATCAAACTTACCTTTACATCTCTAACAGTTAACTGCCTATGTGAAATTTTTCTTGTCTTTTTCAGTCTCAATTCGCTTATGTTTGATAGTTAAGACTTCATTAATGTAGACTAGCTCCTAATCGATTCTTCGAACGAATTCTTACATGGCATATTTTCCCCTGTATAGGAATATACCCTATACATCTTCAGTATCGATCCAGTAGATTAGGTAGCAGAAACTATTAGTCTTCTGTTCAGCAAGCTTGTGCATGCTTTTACCATATGCTTTATTACACTTCTTATTGTTAGCTTTGAAATCAGCTATAATAACATATGGAGCATTGATTATTCAGCCATAGTTCTTAAACTCCTCAAAATTATTTATTCCTTTCACATGCATTGTGACTTTTTGAGTGTTTCGCCTAATCCAAAACACTATTCCCGATGATGAACTAGGGATTTTTTGAGGGAAAACTTTGGATATATTTGTTATATAAATACTTTTTACTATGATGCGCAGTATCCTTAGAAATTAATCAATTCAGATTTTAATCCAGAGGAAGTATTTTTTTTGTCTGTATTTACCTGTTTTCTCAGATTTATTAATATCAGTAAGAGCCATCAGATGAATTACATGTGATCTTTCTTCTTGGCAATCATCCAGTTTATAAATTTCTATTTTACATGAATTTGGAATATAGAAATTCTTACTAGCGATTACAGGCTTTGAAGTGGCTGTTTCTTCTTTCTACTTCTAGACATTAATGGAAATATCTGGATTCTTCTCCTCAATCTTATTAAATATACGTGAGCAGATAGGAATGGGCATTGGAATTCTGTCTAACTTGACTATATCTAAATATGGTTTATATTTTGTAGCATGAAAGATTCTTTCAAAATGATCTATCTGTATATCCATCCTGATCTGTAAAATAGTAACCGAATGCATCTCAGATACATTCTTCAGATAATTTGTTTGTTTTCAGATCAATGAGACCTTTGTTATCTGAATTGATAATGCATTTTGTATTAGCAAGTCTTTGGGAATATGTTTGAAGGATCCTCCTGTGGCTCAACAGCATTTATATACCTCAATAGATATTTCAAGAATTCGCTCAAGAACATATCCAGATCACTTTTTTAATGTTTTCTCAATCTGATTATCTATTTCTCTAGCAGATTTGGTTATATACTCATTTATATCATTGGTTAAAAGCAAATATTGCATCTTCCCTCTTTCATGATTGTATACAAATGATGTACAACTTGTGCTATCTGGATCTCTTTTAGTGATTGAATACAGACACAATGCTACTATAGTGATTTTATTTGGTCCTTTCTATAAAATTTTGTTTGAAGAACTTCTTTTATTTTCAGTCTAATTAATTCTATAAGTTAGGGCATATATGGAATTTCTTTATATAGTCTAGGATCAGCTATTGGTTTGATGAAAGTATATGTAGGATTGTTTTCAGAAACTTTTTCTATCCATTTGCTCATTAAAGATCAATTTTTGTGTGATCTTTCTAGATCTCTTTCAACTGAATATTCTTCAATATGAGTATTCTTTTGTGTGTCTTGTCACTCAACTTCACTAGGTTTTTTCTCACCAATTAATTCCTTCATATATTCTTCATTAAACATCTCAATAATAGATGGTAATCCCTCTCTGTGAGCTTGAGTTGTTGGGCTGGGTCCAGCTTCAGGATCCTCATGACAGTCTTATCGCATAACCTCGCTAGGATCAGTCTCAGGAACTAAAGTATAGATTACTAATTGCAGATCTGGAATTGGGTATACTACTCTTGACTTCTACTTTCTTTGATCTCTTTCTCGAACATTATCAATTGGAGCTGGAGATAGTGATTGAGGCCTGAGTATACTCCTTTTAGTATTATTCTCTAAAAGTAAATTACATTGATTTTTATTACTTTTATAATACTGGCGAAGTTTTTGTGGCATAGAGAAAGTCTTTCTACAACCGATATATTCACAATTTTTTTATCACTTCTTACCATAATACTAATGTAAGTCTAACCTCTAATATATATGTAAACTTTTTCTCAATTTAAATTATTTAATCTTATATCCCCTAATGTTTAATTACTTTTTTATATTTTGAATTTATGAGAAAAATATGGCAAAAAAGCACAACTGTATTCTGCTTGTAGTAAACCTATAAAAATAGTTAAGCTTACAGGGATTGATAATGGCCTATATAGCTATAGTAATAAAAGCAATTATCAGATTCGTCATATGAATAGGCTTTGGAATAAGGCTCAGATGTTCGATCAATATAGTGAAGAGATTAATTTACAAGGTTAGACTTAGCATATATATATACATCTGATGGGTTAGACTTATTTTGATGTTAGATTTAATGTTCTGCAAAAAATCCGATTCAATCCGAATCTGATTCAGATCTGACGGATCAGATCAAATCAGATTCATCAGATTCGAATTAGATTCAGATTCAGATTTTGATTTGATTCGATCCATCGGATCCGGATCAGATTCAGATTTGGATTTGATTCAATCCGACGAATTCAGATTTGGATTCAGATTCAATCCGTCAGATTCGGATTTGGATTCAGATCCAATTTGTTAAATTTGTAATAAAAAATGCCGCCCCGAAGTCGGACGCGGTATTTATTATTAAAAAAATTAATGTTTAATAATAAAATGCCGTCCTGAAAATTAGAGGCAGCATTTATTATTAAAAAAATTAATGTTTAATAATAAAATGCTCCCCAAAAGTTGGATGCGGCATTAATTATTAAAAAATTAAATTTTAATAATAAAATGCCACCCCAAAAGTCAGACGCGGCATTTATTAATAAAAAAATTAATTTTTATTAATTATTTCTATAATAATGCTACCCCGAAAGACAGATGCAGCATTTATTAATAAAAATTTAATTTTTATTAATTTTTTATATTAAAATGCCAACCTGAAAGTCAGATGCGGCATTTATTAATAAAAAACTTAAATTTTTATTAATTGTTTATATTAAATTACCGCCTCAAAAGTCAGATGCGGCATTTATTAATAAAAATTTAATTTTTATTAATTTTTTATATAAAAATGCCGCCCGAAAAACAGATGCGGCATTTATTAATAAAAAATTTAATAAAAATTAATTTTTTATATTAACGTGCCGCCCCAAAAGTCACACGCAGCATTTATTAATAAAAAAATTAATTTTTATTAATTTTTTATATTAAAATGCCACCCTGAAAGTCGGATGCAGCATTTATTAATAAAAAATTTAATTTTTATTAATTGTTTATATTAAAATGCCATCCCGAAAGTCGGATGCGACATTTATTAATAAAAAATTTAATTTTTATTAATTGTTTATATTACAGCTAATTTCATAATTCATGGACCATTAATAATTTTTCAGTCGCATTCAGTCGCAATATTTTATAGTAATTTTATTATAAAATATTTTCAGTCGCATTCAGTCGCAATTTATTAGTGATCCACGAATTATGAAATTAGCTGTAAAATGCCGCCCTAAAATTCGGATGCGGTATTTATTAATAAAAAAAGTAATAAAAATTAATTTTTTATAAAAAATGCCGCCTGAAAGACGGATGCGACATTTATTAATAAAAATTTTAATTTTTATTAATTTTTTATATTAACATGCCACGCCAAAAGTCGGACGTAGCATTTATTAATAAAAAATTAATTTTATTAATTATTTATATAAAAATGCCACGTCCGACTTTTGGGGCGGCATTTATTATTAAATAAATCAATGTTTAATAAAAAAAGTCCGCCCTGAAAGTCAGATACAGCATTTATTAATAAAAAATTAATATTTATTAATTTTTATATAAAAATGCCGCCCCAAAAGTCAGACGCGACATTTATTAATAAAAAATTAAATTTTATTAATTATTTATATAAAAATACTGCGTCTGACTTTTGGGGCGGCATTTATTATTAAATAAATTAATGTTTAATAAAAAATTCCACCCCGAAAGTCAGATGCGGCATTTATTAATAAAACAATTAATTTTTATTAATTTTTATATTAAAATGTCACCCCGAAAGTCAGATGCGGCATTTATTAATAAAACAATTAATTTTTATTAATTTTTTATATTAAAATGTTGCCCCAAAAGTCGGACGCGGCATTTATTAATAAAAAAATTAATTTTTATTAATTTTTATATTAAAATGCCAATCCGAACGTCAGAAGCAGATTTTTGTTAAAAAAACAACAAAATTGTTATTTTTTTAACATTAAAACGCTATTCCGAACGTCGAAGGCAGATTTTTGTTAAAAAAACAACAAAATTGTTGTTTTTTAACATTAAAACGCCGTTCTGAACGTTAGAGGCGGATTTTTGTTAAAAAAATAACAAAATTGTTTTTTTAACATTAAAACACTGTTCTGAACGTCGGAGGCAGATTTTTGTTAAAAAAACAACAATTTTGTTGTTTTTTTAATATTAAAACGCCGTTCCGAACAGCAGAGGCAGATTTTTGTTACAAAAATTTTTTGATCCGTCGGATATGGATACGGATTCGGATTTGTCAGATTCAGATCGAATCGAATTTGGATTTGTCGAATTCGGATCGAATCGGATTTGGATTTTTCAGATTCAGATCGAATCAGATTTTGCCCAAATCCAATCTGATCTAATCTGTGTGGAACACTAGTTAGATTTATATATAGGTAATCAAAAAGTGTAATTTTTTTGTCCTAGGATTATATAAATAAAATAACTTTAGAATAATTTCCTGTATATTGATAAATTGTTAATATGCTAGAACATAATCATTAAGCTTTTAATTTACAAACTAGATAACAGTTAAATCTAACTTCTTCGAGATTAGACTTATTACAGTGAACTCTTGATATAACGAATTCTAGGATCTAGATATGAACTTCGTTATAAGCTTATAACGAATTTTTTAAAGAATTTAATTGGCTAGTTCACTATAGTAAAGGTAATTTTAATATATTTAATTTAAAAATTCGCTATATCAAAGGTTCGCTATATCAAGGTTTGACTGTATATGGTATACATTTTAGGCTTGCATGGTCAGGCTCAGCTCAAATAGCGTCACTTTGTTCAAGACAATCAGAATAGCATAAGAGTTAATATTTATATTGGGTTTACAATTTCAGATTCAGCTCAAATCACATTATTTCATTTCTTAATTTTCGTTAGTCCTTCAAGATGCAAACAAAATAGTAAAATTTTTTTGATATATTATTTGGAATTAAAATCTGGCTATAATGGTTAAATCAAACATTGTAATTCTTGATATCAAATAGGCTAATTTCTAGCTAAGTTTGATATCATCATTTAGATTTAAGTCAAATTATGCTAGAGGTTTAAATTTGATAATTTGTTTCATATAACTAAAATTAATTCGTAGGCGAATAGGAATCTTTCTGAATACTATTTGAAATTTGTTGTTAAATCATGCTAGAAGCTTGAATTCGATAATTGATTCATATAGCTAAAATGGATTCGCAGGTGGATAGGAATCTTTCAGAATACTATTTGAAATTTTGTCTCAGAACTCCCATTTTGGTCTATATAAAATTAATTCTAGGATATGATAAAAATATAGTATGCAAATTGAGCTTGCATGGTCTGGTTTATCTCAATCATGTCACTTCATTTCTTGATTTTTAATAGGTCCTTCGAAAGGCAAGCAGAATGGTATAAAAGTTATTATTCATATTGGATTTGCAAAGTTGAACCTATCTTAAATTGTATTACTTCGTTTCTTGATTTTCAATAAACCCTCTAGAATAAATAGAATAGTAAAAAATTTTAATATATTATTTGGGATTAAAATCAGGCTAGAATAGCTATATTAAATAGTAATTTGATTACGGGACTCTTTCTTAACTGTTCCAATTAAATTTTTTACTAACTATAGTCTTACTGATCCTTATGATGTTCTAGTTGGCATCGACCAAGGCAAAGTTATTTCTCCTCTTTTATGTGTCATCTATTATGATACTCTATTTGATCGAATTAGAAAATCTGAACTTGGATTTAAATTGTTTACCACATGGAATCCTGATCTTAACATTCCTGAAACTGAATCTCTTAATGTCACTATCCCCGTTCTTGAATACATAAATGATACTATTTGGATTGCTGATAGTTACGATCAAATGTCCAGCATCCTCAATATTGCTCAGACATTTTACGAGTTGAATTCAATGAAAGTCAATTTTGATAAATCATATTTGATTACTGATAAAAACTACACTGAATCAATTATCTTTTGAAACTCCTATGATAATTCATCCTTTGAATGCAAAAATATCTCACCCAGGGACTCGACCTGATATCTTGATGTATGGATCTCCGCTCAATATAATAAGAAGTTTATCAAACACTAAATCTCCTCAGAAATTACTTCTTTCAGAGACAAACTCAGATTCAAATCATTAACTGATAAACAATTGCGTTACTTACACAACATGGTTCTCATTCCTCATTTGGAATACAGATTGAGACTCACTATTCTTTTTGAACTCGAAGGCAACTATCTCTATAAACCTATGTAAAAGCTTATTAAACATAAATTAGGACTTAGGCTTAGTACTTATAATTCGATTCTTCATAATAAATTAGCCTATGGGTTTAACGATCTCGCAGCTGTTTCTCAACCCTCTAAAATACAGCACTTTATCAACATTGTCAATTCTTCACTTGATGATTTTATTTTAGGACTAATGACTATTATACGTCTTAAACAGCTTTAACAACATTTTTGGTTATATGATAACCCTTTTATCTGTTAGCCCTTGTCTCTCAAACATTATAGATATACTAATTTTCTCTCCAATTTCTTCACTATTTACCATAAAGCTGATTTCTCGTTTAT